CAGTTACAGACTACTCCCTTTAACAGTCTATTTATAGCTGGAAAAGTAACCGCCGCGCCAGCAGCTAGTCAGTATCTTTCAGTTTTGTTAGAACTCAGCAGTCACCCATAAAGTAATTTACATAAATTACCCGTTCTAAGTGCGAGAAGTTATTTTACTAAGTGCGAATAGTGCCTAAGTTCGTATTTTATGGACTAAGTGCGGTATTTTATCATTAAGTTCGCGTTAGAGGACCCCCCAAAATGAACATTTTCTTGCGTCTTGGGAAGAGTATTGTAGAGTGCCCCGTAAAACTTTGTGGTGTTAAGTATGATACTAAAACACACTAACTGCCCTAAGGATTCACGTCGATTTCATTCTAGGAGTCGAGATATGTTATTTTAAGTTTTTGGGATGTCATGGATGCAAATCGTTTGCTACAGGCTCAAGAACGCACTTTTTGTATACCATGTTATTTTAAGAAAATGTCCGTTTCGATGCGCTCTTCAAAAATGTTCGACTTGCGAACCATGATTTTCTGCGTCTGTGCCACGTAATTCAGCAAAAAGAGCATGTAATGGAGTGAAATGAGAGGGTGTGTCATCTCTAAAGTAAAATCTTTAAAAGAGCATAACTTAAGAACGGCTGGGAAATAGGTGGCCGTTCTTTTTACCATCATGTGCGCCTAAAAAAAAGTACACTATCGTGACAATCGATATCGGTCGATATGGTATAAATTGATAAAGTTATGCTCGATTATGTACGCGAAAACAGAAAAAGGGCGCTGGTGACAAAAAAAGTACTAACGATTCTGTTATTGTTTTGATATTCTGTCATCCCAGACTCTTGCGCATCTGGTGACCTATTTTTTATTCGCCAGTTCCGAGAAAAGTGTCGTTTCGATGCGTGGTGGGCCCGGGATGACAATTCGAGTTGAGTTGGAAGTTCATGTGAAGTCCTGGAAACAAGAAAAAAAGAAGATCCACGCTTCCCTAACTCAAAAAGTCATCGCCGTTCTGCGACGTAGATGTGCTAGTTCTGCCGTCCGTCGTTGTCGTAGCTCCACCCGCACCAGTACTTGCCGCTCCTCCCACACCGACCGATCCGCCGACACCGGCCGATCCGCCGACACCACCTCCGACACCAGCATTGGCGCTCACTCCACCGTTAGCACCTCCACTCGCTCCACCTCCGACGCCAGCACCAGTGTTCCCACTCACTCCCGCGCCGACACCAGCATTGGCACTCACTCCACCGTTCGCAGCCCCGCCCACACCAGCGCCGACAGCAGCATTACCGCCCACGCCCACGCCAGCACCGACGTTACCACTCACACCACCTCCGACACCGGCACCAGTACCGACACCCGTAGTTCCTCCGACACCAGCACCGACACCCGTAGTTCCTCCGACACCAACACCGCCGTATCCGTTACCGACGCCCGCACCGCCAACGCCAGCTCCGACCCCAGCACCAGCGCCTCCGTAGCCGGCTTCCCGACCAAACAGCCCAGCACCAGCGCCACCATATCCGGCACCTCGACCGTACAGCCCAGCACCAGCACCACCATATCCGGCGCCTCGACCAAACAGCCCAGCACCAGCACCACCATATCCGGCGCCTCGACCGTACAGCCCAGCACCAACGCCACCATAGCCGGCACCTCGACCGTACAGACCAGCACCAACGCCGGCTCCACCATGAAGACCGGCAGCGCCAGCTCCATAGAGTCCCGCACCACCGTGCAGACCAGCGCCAAGCAGTCCGAACGTCTGGGCGGCCTCCTTCTCAGCATACGCGCTGTTGGTTAGCGCCACGACGGCGAGGCACACGGCGGCGATCTTGCTACTGCTGAACATGTTGCGCTTGCGTGTTCTTGGACAGCCTTCGAATGCACGAGAGCTGTTTGATGTGAGCTCGAGTGAGGAGAATGGGAAATGAGCTCTGGACGGCGCCACTCGGCAACCTTTTCCGTCGGCTCCGGATTGACGGTCGTCTAGATCATGTGTACAAGGCAGGTTGTCGGAACTCACAAAAGATCTACATGAGACCAAGAGACGCTGAGGAGTCACGCACGCGGATGAGATGGTGAAGATCTCGTCATTCATGAGAAGGTGAGCGTCAGCAGAGAAGGTGAACAGGATGAGCAGTTAGGAAACCTCTCGAAGGAGAGAATGCATTTTACATAACAACTAAATTCAATCAGTCTTCAATCTACCACGCCGAGCACAAGCGACCAACAGGTTATGAGCCCAACGGGTTCCGACGGCACCTCACAGCAACAAAACCCGCGCGATGTCCAAGAGACTGATGTCCACGGGCTGAACGTGGCAGCAGACCCGTTTGAGTTGTTCGAGGGGACGCACTCTGAGTCAGGTGCGTCCGATGCTCCAGGAAGGGGAAGCCGGAACTCTAGCGCAAGTTCTGAGCGACTAGATAAGCTTGAAGGTCTCATTGAAGGCATGGCCAAACAACAGGCCAAGTTTATGGCTGACCAAGCGGAGCTTCAAAAGCAGCTGCAGCACCGCACGGACATGCCATCCTTCGAACACAAGTACGGAGAGTCGAGCGCGTTTACTGATTTCATCAAGGCTCGAGCACGGCGGATGAGAGTAGGATCTCTCGATGCGTCGATGAGGACGCCGACGCAGACGACGCCAGCTCCAGAGATGCCGACGCCACCGACGGAGAACGCGACGAGTATGCAACAGCGGATGGCCGCACCCATGGCAGGGCAGTTTGTGCCGCCACCAAACTTCGGACTCAAGGTGCCGAAGCCACGCGACCTGGACTGGCCGGGCTTCGCGAAGTTCGCGGGCAAGGAGGTGTATCCTGGCCTTGGTGCGGATTTCAAGACTTGGGGACTGCGATTCTTGCAGCGACTGGCTGCAGCTCAGCAGATGAGCGGTGGTGACTGGTCGAAGGAATTCCGCATCCTTTGACTTTGAACGCAAAAAATGATAGGAATCTGACACTTGTGAGAACTACTAGAAGGATGGTTCCACTTCTGGACGGTGGATCTCCCCGAGTCTTGAAACATATGAGATGGAAAAAGAATTGTAAGTCCCGTATCATGACAGACGGAT